CCTGCATGCTGGGATCAGTCTTGGATCATGGGATGGAAGGAATTGGGCCTGGGGATTGGCATTGGTTTTGTTCTTTATTGAAAACAAAGCATCTTGGTACTCATCATATTTTTATTTAAAATATGTTTTTATGTTATTCATGACATAATATATTAAAAACAATATCTTTCTGTATTCTGTTTCAGTACAGTTCTGTATTGGCTGTATCCTTTTGTATTTCTGAGTCCAGTGGTGACCATTTCCTCAGGTGCAAATTCTGCTTCTGCTCATACTTTGATGTCACCTCTACAATCCCTATGCTCAGCCTTTGTCTGTAGCCCATTTGTGTCTCTGTCTTTGCTGTTTTGTTACTGAAATCAGCTGTCAGTCCAGTTTGGGGCTACTCTCTACGAGCCGGTGGGTAGTAACTAGCTGACCCATAGAAGTAGGATTGGAATAAGAATCGTCTCTCTTCTCTCATAAAGAAATAAGAACGAGAAATAAGAAATTATTGGATTTATAGTCTCTTCTCTAAATAGCCATCAACTTTTTTCCCACTTATGTCACCCTCCTGGAGGCATTTTCATCCCTGAACTAAATGCCTCGTTGTAATCAGACAAAGCTTTAATAAGGTGTCTGTTTTTCCCTGTACTTGCTGCAGCTAAGGTCTCACAATGTGGCTGGTATCACCTTCAGCAGCCTTTTGCAAGCTATTGCATTTGTTTATGGAGTGCATGAGGGGTGAAGCAGGTTACTGGGGATGCAGGGTAAAATGGCAACAAGTTGTGTGTAAATCATCCAGTAATTTTCTCTCTGGTGAAAGCAACCAGACCCTGGGAATGTCATGGAGCTGAGTCAGGGGAGAGTCAGTTTGGGCATTAGGAAAAGATTTCTTTGCTAGGGAGTGGTGGATGTGGAACTGACTGCCCAGGGCGGTGGTTGTGGCACTGATCTGCTGGAGTTCAAAAAGCATTTGGGCAGCTCTGAGAAATATGGTTTGAATTTGGAGTGGTGCTGTGTGGAGCCAGGAGTTGGACTCCATGATTCTTGTGGGTACCTTCCAACTTGGGATAGTCTATGATTCTGTCACATCCATGAGGAGATAAGGAGATATTGCCAGATCTGTGGCAATACCATGGGATTACCAGAACTAGAGTTTTGCAACTTGAATTTAGGGGCTACAGAGTGGGTGAATGTGGAATCTAAAAGATGCCAGAAAGGAAAGTCCATGCTGCTATACACACCAAAGTAAATAAGCCTAGGGTCTTGTACCTGTGGACGATCTCTAATATATCAAGCTGCTTTGGCTAATGCCCACTAAGAATTTGGCTGAAGTGTACAGGCATATGCAGGTGTTTATATGATGAGAGTACTGTGGAGGCCCCTTGCTCCTGAGGCTGGGGAGCACTGTGCCCTGAACTGCTCAGGTGAGGCAGTGTGCTGGCCTTACACAGGACAGGGTGTTAGCTATTTTTCCTTTGACCCCAAGTGGTTTCTAGCCCTCACTACTAATGCTGGTAGAAGATGTCAGTTTGGCCAAATTATAAAAAAGATTTCGTGTACTTAAGTTTTGTGTTTATTGTTCCTTCTTCAGGATTACTTAAATGCTTTTTTGCCAATAATCTTGTTTGTAAGAAGCCAGTTCTTGCTGTTTTTCAGATTTACATAGCTGGATTGATTTATGTTCCTTATTAGGAAAATAATCCATCTTTTATGGGGTTAGGTCAATTTGTGAAATAATAAATCAGAGAGAGAAAAGGTCTCAGCTGTTTCCCATAATAAGCATTTATCCATGTTTGGAAGCTCTTGTTTACTTCTGTACAGAGTCACTATTTGGTAAGGAAAAAGCAGTGCGGAAGGGTAATACTCTTCATGTTAATAAACTCTTTTATCTTTTTCTTACACAAAGCAGTATGGAGCCATGATGTTCCATGTCTGCAGAGTTTTTCATGTACACACCTTTGTATTTGCATGCATGTCTGTCATCCCTGCTGAATACGAAAGTAAAGGCACTGTGATTTTTAAAATTGATTATTTAATAAAACAAGTGTTTTTGTGGGAGCTTGTCTTATAAGACCTGTTTATGTGCTTATAACCTTTTGACACCACAGTGAGATTTCAAATGAAGACATATTAATGTGCATTACAAGCGTATGATTGCTTTTATCATTATGAAAGAGATGAAAAATTAGTTCACTGCAGTAGTTTTTATCTTAACCGATCAAAACATCTTCCAGTGATGTTTATAACAATATGTGATTGGAATAACAACTTAACATGTTGTAGAGTTCCATGCTGCAGCCGAGAGGCATGTAAATACAAGCTGCTTATTTGCAAGAAGCTTCCAGATTTGCAATATGATTGCTATGGAAACCGCACAATGAAAACCTTATAACCATCTGTGTGGTTTGGAAGATACTGCTGCATAGCTGAGCTGTTTTTGTTTACTGTTATTAAAGTGTTGAATAGGATATATTAACCCACAAGCTGGAATTATCCCAGGTATAAACTAATGCAATGCAAAGGGAATGTCTGTCTCAGAGATGAAAAAACAGTAGAATACCATTTAATAATGTTATAAATTAGTGTATGGTATATGAAAATGTTTAAGAGGTGTGATGGTAGAGGAAAGTGTTAAGTTTATGCATATTTATTATGGGGATACCACATTCCATTGAAGGAATGCATTGCTTGAGCCAAGTTCTAATCCATTTTTTACTCAAGTAGTCTGATTTTTTTTTCCCTTTAAGAAAAAGAAATTGGAAGAAAAATCAATGGCTTAATGTCAAAAACTCAGCTAGTGTAATATTCACTATTCTATTTTAAAATTGTGTGAATGATAGAATCATCTATGGTTGGGTATTTATTTTTCTGTTCCTTCTTCAGATTCAAATAGGTAAATTATTTTGAGCATCTTTCTGGAACTAATTGGAAATAAATAAATAAATATAGTGAATTCCTCATTTCACTGTCAGTTCAAAAATTTTGGGGGTTGTTTGCCATTAGGGTCTCTGAGAGTGAAATGTAATCTATATCTCAAGGGCCAGATGTTTGTTCTTTGGATCTCCAGCTCTGGAAGAGTTTTAGTTTGCTTAGCCTTGATTGCTCTCATTTTGACATAATGAGAAGATAGAGAAGAATACTATCTTACTGTATTGGTGTATACTGTATGGTGTGGAGAAGAAAAATACTGTACCAGATTATTTTAAAGGTCTTCTTGACTCCTCTTACATTAGGGAACTTGACTCCTCTTACATCCTACAAAATGTGACTGGCAATGGGATAATAATTCCTGTGGGTGGTGTAATTGTGGTATGGAAGCCATAGAATGACAGTGCCTCCTAGTGCTTTGGACAGCTTATAGGGATGTATTTGTGTCATTTGTACTCCAATTCTAAGTGCTTAAAACAAACAAATGAGTGTACTTGGAAATGTGCCACAAGTGGTCTGCCAAGTGAGGGAATACATTTAAATGCAGTAAATAGTTTGGAGTGTTTTGTGTTGTACTGCAGCTTTAGATTTTCCCTGTTCTATCGTGTTGGTTTTGTTTTTTCTTCTTGTTTGGCTCAAATAATAGTTTATATTCATTGCAACCAGACTTTTAGCTAGTAACGAGTCAGACAGCAAAAACTCTCAGTGGCTTAGCAGGGCAGAAGTTCAAAGCTCTTTGAATCTCATGAAGTAACTGTCATACTTGTAGACCTGCGTATGTAAGTTAGCAAACAATTATGCATACTTATTTCAACAGGTCTACTCTTGTGCTTTAAACATCTGCTTTAATGTTCACACAAACAGTCTTGTGGGTAGAATAAATTTTACAGTGCCAGCAATCCTTTGAACTGTTGATGTAAAATTCACGCTTTGTCAAAGTGGAAAGTCGAATTACTAAAAGTTTCACAATAAGGAGCATTTCTAAAGTTGAGTGCTGCATCTGTTGTCTGTTATTAATAAACTATCAAAATAAGTTGCTGAAACATATACTGGTATTCATGCTTCTTTTTAAGATATAAGATGCGATGAGTTGCTGTATCTAGTAATTCAAACATATTAAAAGTCCAATTCTTGTTTGAGCAACTTTTGGTGTAGTATAAGGGCCAAGATGAATGTGTTTCTACTTTCTTATGACCATGAAGAAATAATACAACTGAAAAAGAACTCATGGTTTGTTCCCTGTTCTGCCTCACTGACGAATTGTTGACTGCAAGTTGTGCAGAGCAGGTCTTACATCCCTGTGCCGAATGGAGTGTGAATTTCCTCATGTGAGAGTGTTAGGGTGAAAGAATTCCCCTTCTGTGTAAGGTAAGGATGGAGTACATTAAGAAATTGCCTATGGGAATTTCATAGAATGTTCCAATCTTGCTAGCCAGGAAACACGCTTCAGTATAGATCACTGCCAGGGTTCTTCTTTTCTTGTCTCTTAAATTTGAAATAAGTTACTTGCAGTCTGGTTTGCTTAAAACCATGGTTAGTTGCAGTAGGCAGAGCACTGAATGCATGGCATCTTGTGGTGCCTGCATTCCCATTATGAGGGTGCCTAGCTAGTGTGTGTGTGTGTGTGTGTGTGTGTGTGTGTGTGTGTGCGCGTCTGATGGTGCTGAAGATGTCCTCTTCCTTCTCTGCATACTTCTGCAGTGAACTGTCTACTATATATGGGCTGGGATACTTTTTCACTCCTCAGTTTCCTTTTCTTCATCCTGACAAGACATGTATATAACAGAATAGGACTCTCATTCTAATTTTCTTGGATGACATAAAAACAGCAGAACTGGATTACTGTATTCAGAGCGGACTGAGAAGGAGAGCGTGTTTACAATTGAGATTTTGAAAAACTTTTGGAGTATTTGGATGGGTGGGTGGGGGGAAACCACAGAAATAACAACGCTCCAACTGCTGTACAAATGCAAAATAGTAAACAGGGCTTATGATCTAGAAATGTGGAGTGTGGCTTTCAGACTAATGTGGGCTGTAATTCCTGTCAGCTGAGGTGTCCCTTCAGTTTCATTTGCAATTGTGTTTTGCAGAAGAAAATGCTCCTCCAAAGACTGAAATGCCAAGGAAATGGAGCCAGGAGAAAGTGGACGCTGCATCAGGTAATTAAAATGTTTCTTCTTTATTTTGTATGTGTACTTTCTTTCTATCTTTATTTTCTTTTCTCTTCCTCTGCTGTTTTAAAATAATGTTTTTATAGCTCTTCTAAGCTGTTTTTTTCACCTGGGTGTTTGATGGCAGCAAAACTGCTTAGCACCACTTAGGATGCATGAAAACCACTTGAGAAGGATTTATAAAGTAAGCCAATTTATACAAGGTATTCCTTCCTGAATTACTTTGTAATGACTCAATTAGCTTTCATTTCTGCACAAAGGAGATTTAGTTGCATAAATTAGCTTATCATCATTGAGGAAGTGTCACAGCTAAAGGACAGTTTATAGATACAACATGCAGTTGCTGTCAAACCTATAAGAATGTAATATAGACATCTGTGTATACTTTGTGCTTGAGCAGAACAGACTTCTGCCATTCAGAGACTAACAGGGGACAACAAGTTGCCCAAGGGACTGGCAATGTAGACATCTCTGAAAAGGTCAACTTGACACAGGCTCTGACAATCGACCCAAAGCTCTGTCTTCTTTGATAAAAATCAGATAAACTTAAGACCACTAATTGATCTGCAGCCTGTTTAAATGTTGGCCATGCATATCTTCATTGCATATGATTACCACAGAAAGCAAATGAATTGGGTAAGAAATGCCAGAGTCCAGTGACAGCAGCATAAAAATTGGAAAAGGACACCAATGCCTAGGAAGGCTGTGAAGGATATTCTCTCAGCTTTAACTTGGCAAACTGCCCTTGTGCTAATTATCTCTGGGACTGGAAAAATAACTGCATACACCATGTAAAGTCTCATGGCCAGACAACTTTTCTTGACAGAAATGTATTTCCAGTTATGCTTAAAAACAAGATATATATGTGCTTCAAGGGCACGGACCTTTAGATAAACTATTGGTGATTTGACACAGCAAATAGAGAAGACTTGCTTCTTATCAGACCTTGCACCTTTTTGAGATCTGCTGCATTGTAACTGTGACCTGCATTGACATGCAATCTAGTTCACCTTCCCCCATCGTTCAAAATGCACATCATTCTTGCAGGGCTGTCAAGGAAAGGGTGGACAAAAAGAGTTCCTTTAGGAAATAGGTCTGCAGTGCTCTTCCTGTTTCAGCGTGTGGAGAGGAAACAGAGGCCTGATTTCCTGACCCATACAGGAAAGCAGGAACAGGTTGCTGTGAAGAGTTTGGGGTTGCTTTTCTTGGAAAGGAAGCAAAAGCCAAGTCATCAGATGCTGTTAACATTGTGTTCTGCTAAAAACACGTGTACGACAACACGACTCATTACAGCTTTAGCATTTAATACTCATTTAGACGTTACTGTAATTATAAAAGTGCGTTGTCATAGTAGAGCATGGGGTCAATCCAATTACAAACTTGACAGCAGCATTTTTTCACTAATAGATCATCTTGAAGTTTTAAGTGATGATACTTTTAAGAAATAAAAATCTTAGTGCATTAATTTCTTACAAGTTTCAATGAGCCTTGTCTGTCTTGTTAGTGTTTGCACAATGTCCTGCAGAATATCTGAACAGATTTTCCCAGATGTCAGATTAATTTTCTGGTCTTACTTAGTTCAAACTAGTAGCACTGGAAATCAGTTGGACTTTTAGGGTGGCGTTGACATAAGTAAGATTGGCATTACTGAAATATCTAACTATATTCAAGAGTATTTTATATTTTTGCATACTGACAACACATACATTCTTACACTTTATTTATTGCCTATCTTTATTAAACCTGAATATCACAGAAAATCTTCTGCAAATGTCTGTGAGCTCAGCCAGGTGAGAGAAAAAGGTTTTTGTAATTTTTAGTCTGTTGTCTCAAGGTAGGTACCTTGATTTCAAAGTAGCTAAGGGACAGAATAAGGGAATAAAAGGAATAGAAGAAGAAAAATGAGGAAGGTTATGCTGAACAGGTTGGACTACATAGGTGGTAGAGTGAAATAAAAGCAAACCTATGTGTTCCTTCATTCACAAGCAAGGTGAAAGTAGGTGATGTGGACCGAGTAACTCAAGGTTACTATTTTAGTATAGGTTATTAATTTGGACGCCATCACTGGTAAAAGGGAAGTGAAAGTCGGGCACATCTGTTTTTATTCTAACGTTTTCAGTAGTGCATTTCCATGCTTAGGCTGTAATTCCAGATTTTGTTTTGGTCAGTGTAGTTTTTTTGCTAACTCTGTGCTCAGAAATGGCACGTGCCAAAATTGGCATGAGAGAGGACGTCGGGAAGGGTCAGCTGCAGTTGAACTGGCTGAGGCTGCAGTGGGTCAGCACACTTAAAACTTGAAATATATACCAGATTTTGTTCTTTTTATGTCTATTGAGGCTGTTAGTATATTCATACAGTTTTGTTCTCCCTTGAGCAATCTGTTGGCATTTTAAAACAGCTTGCAACATCCAAAGTCCATGTTTGAGAGAGATACTTTTCAGACTTGTACTATAACTCTTCACCTTTCTCTCTTTGAGCATGCAATGTTAGATGCCAGTATTTTTCAGTCAAATAAGCAGTGTGAGCCTACCATTAGGAAGGCCAGCAGTGGTTGCCTCTTAATCTGTCAAATAAACTCTTTGTTTTCATCACTACACTGGCCAAAAATATCTGTTGTTCTTTTTGCTGTTACTGGCAGAAAACAGAGATGGCAAAAGAAAACTCCGAGGAATTCTTTGTAGAAGAGTTTTGGAAACTGTTGGATAGTTGTTTGTTCAGATAACTGTCCTGGAATGAAAGAACTATTTCCTTGAGAAACAACTTATCCAAAATCCTTCTCAAACATTTCTTGTAATTGCTAATATGAAAAGCCATGAGTAGGTAAAACAAACTGCCTCATTTGCTCTACTCTGCATTTAAAAAAAAATAATTCTTTTTTTCATATATTTTTCACATTTATAGCCTATGTGACCATGCCTTCCAATGTTACAGACTTTTGTTTAGCAGTTAGCACAAGCTATTTTACAGTGCAAAAGAATAGGATATAATTATGACAGAGTAATTCCAGCAAGTCAAGACTTTTTGAATTTGAACTATAATTGTCACTTATGTTCTTGATGCTAAATTTACCAGCTGCTTTCATGCACTCCTGTGTTTATGAAGGTCTACATGATTTCATCTCCATATAAAAAACAAATTTTTTCACTGAAGTCCTGTGGTTTTATTTCATGCAGTTCTTCAGATGCTTTCAAACAAAATGTGGTACGATCTTCTCTAATCAAGAGAGGGATGAAACAAGAAAGAATGGACTTGTGTTTTTAGTGAAGTTTTTGCAGCTTTTTATTATTGTTGTGTCTCTGAGTTTGTGAAGCACTGCGAATCGTTTTATGAAGTGTTACGTCCTTTAGACATATGGACTCTGAAGTTATGTTTACGTTTCATGTTTATGCCTGTGTAACTTGTTCTGGTGGATGTTAGAAGCTAATTCACAACTGGGAACGCCACTTGTTTGAAGATCGGTGTAGTTTTTCACAAACTCACAGTGGCACTCCCTCTCCTTGGTTTCCTTTCTGTGCTCCTGGTGTATACCAATTGCTCCACGACAGATGTGTATTTCTGATATTGGGAAATCTCTGTCAGAATTTGATTTTGCATTGAAGTGACAGAGCTATCGTTTATCTTTGGGCAGCATCTTCAGAGTAGCAATAAGCCTGTTTTAAAACACATCTTTTCCAGTGTTGCCATCTTATTAGTTGAGTTCCTTTCTTGCTTTAAGGCTTCATGAAATGCTTGTGGTAAATATGTAGGGAGAGATGTACCTTGCTAACTGTGACAGCTATTGTGTTGCTGGTATTCTCCGTGTGATTCCCATTAGTGTGATACCTGCAGTTACTTCAAGCACTTAAAAGGTGATAAAAAGATCAGTGTGAAAAATCACGATTCATTTTAGTGCAACTCTGATTAAATACAAGTACTGATTAATGTATTTTAAACTCAGATCAGTAAGACAACTGTTGAAAGATTTGTAAGGATGGAATACACCAAAGCAGCTCTTTAGTTTTTTGGGTTTTTTTCACTCGCTTGGGTTTACATTATCTTTTCTGAGATAGAGCTAGGAACTGTGGTCAGTGCTGAATCAAAGATCCGGGGAGATAATCAGATTCAGAATTTATTCGAAATTGATTTGGTGCTGATCATTGTTACTGTTTTTAATTGTCTGATGCTAAATAGGTGAATAATAAACTGATGAATAGGAAGGGCCAAAATTTGGAGGTGCAACATTTCGTAGTGATTCTATCTGAATATTATTCTCTCTGTGCATTTTACAGTAATGGAATTTCTTGTTTCTGAATAGCTGGTAGCCTTTATGACATGTATATATTGGTGCCTTTGATGTGATGGCAGAAGTTGTGGGTTGATAGTCAGAACGCCCTCTAGTGCTATCTGGGGAATGGTAGCTACTGATCATCAGCTTGTGGAAAATTAAATGGTGGCTACCTTGCATAGCGGCTTTAAAATCAAAGTTGTGAACGTTTAGCCGTATGGCAGAATTGTCATTAAAACAAGGTATGACAGAAGACATACTGAAATGGATAAATAGAAAACAAGCTCTTCTGGCTCATACAGAGCAATTAAAATCAAAGTATATGTCAAAATAGGGAAAAACACAAATTGTGTGCTACTGTATTTTACTTAGTGTGGCACTTCATCTCACTTGTTATTTGATATTTTAGTGGGGTTTTATTCAGTAATAAAGTGAACCAATCATGATTAAATTGTAAACTATAAATAATGGTGTAGAGTGCTAACGACATGCAAATGTAACGGGTATATGTTGAAATAACCAGCAAGCCTGCTGTTCCAGGATCATATAACAAAACTAAGATGACAGCTTTGATCCAGCCAGTTCAGTGATATTTATGTTATCAGAATTAGAAGATAGCTTTCCAGTGATGTAAATTATTAGTACATATACATTCTGTCTGGTTAGTGTATACATAATGTAACTGGTCATCTTAGTGGTATTGCTTACATTCTTTTTGCATTGACTCATCGCACTCGATCCTCATGGAATTAAAAACAGGAAATAGTTTGCAGCGTAACAGAAGCTCCCAGTGTATTTAACCGTGTGTAAGTGCTGTGTTTCAATAGATGTACTCTGTATTGTAAGTATATGACAAAGCATTTATTACTGTGTTATTGCCATATTACAGAGCAAAGAGTGCTAAATAATCAATCAGTTAATGGTCTGTATGGCAGCTTGAACACAGCACATCCATTGTGCTTACACTGTTAGAAGGATGAGTTTATGACTATAGTGTAGTTGCATGTTTAGCCAGAGCCTAATGTCCTAAACCGGAGCTGACACAAATATTTTTAAAATGCAGCTTCAGCAACAGTCTTAAAGTTCTCCAATATTTCAGAAAGACCAATCCAAGATTATCTAAAAGGCTCTCGGTGAAGTTATTCAGTTTTGTTGGAACAGAATTGGCAGGGGGAGCGTATCACAAAATACTTACTTTGGCTTCCTTTTGCAGATAGTTATTAATTATACCCCAGCATTTTTATCAGTTTCAAGCTGAGATAGAATAATGGCTTGCTGGAAGTGTGTGAGTAGAGGAAAACTGGCTGCTTTAGGTGCAGCTGTGAAATGCTTTGAGAACCTGCAGCTACATGTTTCTAAGTCGTACAACTGTTGCCAGTGAAGGGCTTGCACATTAAACTTGTTTTCCACTTGCTTTTGTGGTATGAAGGAGCTGTTTCTTCAAAGAGGATTAAGAAATGCGTGCTAATTAATTGCATTGTAGTATCTGAAGATTTAAAGAGCAGCACTAGTCCCTCAATCTTTATCCGTTGTAATTAGATGTCGTTTTCTTTGCAGATGGCAAAAATACCGATTATGCCAATTTCTATCAGGGTCTGTGGGACTGCACCGGAGATGTACCTGATGAGCTGACATTTAAGCGTGGTGATGTTATCTACATTCTCAGCAAGGTACAGCATGCTACTCAGGCTAAGTGGCTGTAAAAAGAGGGAAGCACAGAAGGGCACATTCCCACAGTTCTATGGGGGGAAATTGGCACTCCCTTTCAGATCCTTTGTTTGCAATCAGATATTCACTGCAATTAATTATTTGTCAAATGAACTATAATCATATTTAAAACATAACCATGTAACAGGAATTAACTTAAAAGCATGTTTATTTACTTGTTAAATCTTGGCTACCGTTTGTTAACTAATTTAACAGGAGACAATGTGCTCTCTGCTTGTAAAAGCTAACCTTGTAGAATTTTAAAATTATCTTGTATGCTATGCTTTTCCTTTCCTGTTTTATATCTGTGAATTTTGGGGCATCTTGCTAGAGTGTCTTTTTTTGTTTTGTTTTGTTTTTTAAATGATGTATATATATTGTATGTATATAGCAATTGTTCAGACAGCTCAGATTCTGAATCTGTTTGCTCTGGCACGTTTGGACAGTTTTTAATTTACTACCTCCTTAGTTGCAAGGCAAATGATGAATACAATTCTTCTCATCTGAAGCAATGATAAGCAGTATAAGCACAAAATTTTATTTTACATTCCCGTTTCTTAATTTCTTACTTTTTCCCTTAAAAAGAAAACAAAAAACCTCTCCTAAAGTACATCAAAGTGTAGTTCTAAAATTTCATTTAAGGAAATTTCTCTTCCCCACTGGAAAAAAAAGCTGAAGTTTCCTAGTTTTCATTAAAAACCTGACTTTAAATACATATCTCAGATGTAATTGCCATTCAGTATAATTTATGCCAAAGACATTGTAATAAGCAAGTAGCAGCATGTAAGCTAAAGCCATCTGTTTGTTCTAGTTTCAAACTCTTCAGTTTTGTCACAGTTGCTTTAAATCTTCCACGATACTTTTAACTGCTGTGTTTTAGGGATAACAAATGTACAGCTTCTGTTTAAATAAATTTAAGATTTATAGGCAGATAGTCCTGTATAAAAATATAGGAGATATATTACTGATGTAATGTGACGATGTATGTCTTTTGAGGTATTTCATTGTCACTTAAACTAATAACTGAATTTCATTACTAAAGGCAGGATAATAGTCTTCAATTGGACAGGTTTTCATAGAGTTATACAGCACCAAAGAATGGTACTAATAAACAACAACACCCTGTCTGCTCCTCCCCCTCCCCTTTTTGCCTCCCCCCCCCCCCCCAAAAAAAAAAGAAAAAAGAAAAAAAAAGGAAAAATGTTTTTGCCTTTCGTGAATCGTACTTTTTATGTTACAGGGACTAATAAAATCTTAAACTTCAGCTTGTAGGTGGAAAAACTAATTTGCTGCTTCTTTCTTCCCCCAAATAGTGAGGAATTTAATTTAAAAAATGGAACAGAATAGAAAAACAGTAGTTAAAGCTGTCGTCTGTATATCAGCTGTCTTGTGGCCATGCCTTGATTAATACATAATCAGTCCTTGAAACAGGCCTGCTGCTGCTCAGATATATAGAGCCCTTCTGTTTGGGAATGATTTCTGCTCCAAAATAGAGCCCAGAAATTTCAGCTGTGTTTCACTTAAAGATTGTTACAGCTTTTTCAGAAAAATGAGTGTTGGCCACTACTGTCAGCTCAGAATCTAGGGGCCTTGGAGGAGAAAGTGCCAGAAAATTATCCATCTTAACCTTCCGTTTGGTTCAGTTTCAAGGACTGATCGTTTACAAGCTCTTTATCTGCTAAGTGAAAATATGAGCAAGGAAAAGTGAGCCTAACCATCCTGAAGTGGGTCAGGACTTTTCTTCAAAAAATATTTCTTAATTCCCTGCGTTAACACAGGGTTTTGTGGCGGTCGGCAGGAATCCTTAGCAATTTTTTTATTTTTTCACACCATCTAGTGGTTGAAAATGAGAGATGCAGGTACTGACAGGAGGTGATGTGAATAAATCCAAAATGGTGTCATAAATTCAGCTTCAGCTTGAACCTAGCCATGGCTTTATTGCCTTTCTATCATCTGTCAGCCAGGTAGGAACATTATTCTTGGAGAAATCACATTTTGCTGATAAGGAATTAAGTACAAGTATAGTAGTGTTATGGTAGGAAGGGTGAAGCTTTAACAAACTATTGAGCATTTTTGTACAACCCATGGTATTTCCTTATTTTACAATGAAATATAAGTGGTATATGTTCTAATGATTGTGATAAAAGATACGATTTTTTTTTTCCCAGCACTATTTAGGCCAAAGCAATGTAGTTTTACCTGTTTTTCAAAAACGCAAGAGAAACCAAGGGAAAAGTGACCATTGCTTTCCAATAGATGAGTCATTAGTGCAACTGAAATAATTATGAACCGGTTTTGCAAATATGGGCATTGATATCATTTAAATAAAGCTAGATGAGCAATTTGTTACATGCAAGTTGTAACTTAGATGAATGCCTTTTAAAAGAAACAGCAAGATTTTGGTTTGGTGGTGTTTAATTACTGAAGTAGCTAAACATTATGCAAATACAAATCCCTCATAATTTACTTTAAATTGAGCATCTAAAGTCAGTGTTAATGTAATGAGCATGATTTGCATGCTTATACGTGTATAATACAAATACCTATGCATTACTAATTTAATTACTGTACAAAAGTAAGTATTCGTTGTTCAGAAAATGTATTTAGTAACTATTTTAGCTATTATCTAAACATTTGTGGATGTTTAGACTGTGCATGGCAGCGGTTCTATGGACTCTTGTTTACATATATATATTTTGATTTTTTTGTTGTTTTAACTCTGAGAGTAAAAGTTGAGTCTTTAATTTGAGCAGAATTAGCAGAACTATAGCAACAGTACTTACTAGACTTATTTAGAAAATCAAAACAAAAAGCTCAGCCTTTTCAAATGAATAGATCAGTTTATCTGCACATTCATCACTTTAATTTATTCTTGAATATTTAAGTGACTTTTATAACTTATGCTATGAATCATGTGAGCTTTCAGAAATTTGTGTACCCCTCTTTCACCATGCAGTCGAAAACATTTTATGGCTCTGCTGATTGAGGGACTCATTAATAGGATTTCTTAGTTAACGTTGACTATTAGAAATGCAATACATGGGTGGCTTATTTTCTAAGATGATGATTGCTCTTAATTCCTGATCGTTTATGGGCCTCCCTTTGCTTTCAAGCCCACATGATAAATGGGAAAACAAACCATGATGTAACAATTCTTTTTATAAATCTTCCAGAGCTCTTATTCAGGAAATCAATTTCTAGTAACAAAGTCAACTGTGAGTATTGGTAGCTGTATTTTGTTTTAAAGTTCGCTGTGCAGGATTCACCGGAGTGCAGCCGTTGCAGTATTTGTTTTATATGCATACTTCACGTTCAGAAACTTGATAGTTTCATCAGCCAGTTGCAAGTACTAATGGAAATTTATATAGACATTAGCAGGCACTTGCTCTGGCAGAATTACTGGCATTTCTTAACTTTTAATCTTATTCATTTTCTCCTACATTTGTATTTATATTTGCATTAAATTAACAGATAATACTTAAAAATTAGAACTTGTTATCTCTAACCAGAATACTCCTTCCCTCTTATTATTTGAGTATGTGCTAATGTGATGTAATTCTACTCACTCTGGTGTTCATGATTCATGAAGATCTCATTTATGATTTAAACTTTTCCTCTAGAATTTTCCGTGAAAGCAGAGCATTAGCTTGGCATCTAGCTAACCCCTAAGTTAGTAACTAAGTTAGTCATTGCGTGCTTCCAGTGGGAGATTTTTGTTCTTTCAACACAACAAATGCTTGTTGAAAGACTCAAGTCATAAATACAAAACCTATATTTTATGCTAAGTGAAAAAAAGAAAGAAATCTCCATAGGTTAGATTACTGCTAAAGTAAAACGGAACAGTGCAACCACTTAATTATGAGTATGAGCATGTTGTATGTTTTGTGTACAACTGTCATGAAGTATATTTATTCAGTATATTTAAAAAAAAAAAGATGTTAAAGGCATGGTAAAATCCAGAGTGTTTTTGTGAGGCCATCATCTGGCTCACCATACAGAGAGGCTTATTTAATGATGACCTTGCTGTTCACTATCGTACTGCCTATGTCTACGTTAGCAAATAAGGTGTACTATATACATGGCTAAGAGTAGAGTGAGGGCCCTTCAGTGGAAGATTAATTAAGACAGACTAACACAAAGTGACTCGAGTTCTGTTGGTCTGCATACCAATAATAAGCGTTTACCTACCTGATCAGAAGAAACGTTGGCATCTTGTCGTGTAATAGAAGATAATGGCCCTTCAACCAGGGCCAGCTTTGGTTCTGAAGTCAGTCTGCTTATTCTGATTGAACACTTTCCAATGGATGTCTGTTTTGTCTCATGTCATTTCAGGAAATAAAACCTAATAACGCTACCATATAGTAAATCTGAGGCTTGTATTCTTAAAGATGACTATTTTATTGCTGCCTTAAAACAACTCTACTACCTGTGAAGAAGTCTCATTCAGTTATCTAAAACATTTATCATTTTCTGCTTTTTAGAGAAAATGCTGTTCTGTGACAAAAATGCTCCCTAGTTGATAGTGCATCATTCAGCAATTACACCAAAGGAAGTTCTGAAATTTTTTTAGCTGGCTTCAATTTTCTGGATGAATTAGAGGTGTCTTAAAATATTATCTTGCCAAATTGCCCCCTAGGATATTCTTTAGGAAAAAAATAAAATCTCCCTGGTTCCCTCACTTTAGATCGATAGGAGAGGCTACCTAATTTAACCCCAAACAAGGCTATAAATACATTTTGCTTTTCAGTTTTATGGTTTGCAGATCTTCAGTCTGTAAGTTAATATTACTTACGATGCCTTGGGAGAAGGTGGGAGAAAAATCTTGAATTCACATGCTTCAGCTGTGTGGTTTTTTTTTATAAATTATAAATCCATTATTTCCTTGAAGGCATTGATGCATAATTATGATTTTCAGTAATCCTTTAAAAAACAAAAATAGCAAAACAAACAAAAAACCCAACGACATACTATAGGTGTTGAACAATAGGGACTAACTGGGCAAGAATGAGATGTTCTCAACTTTTACTGATGCCAGTAGAAGTGAATATGGTACAAAGCATCTAGAGATCCTCGTTTATTCATAGGATCTGTTTCTAAAGGTGAGGAGACACGTGGAAATCCTCTTGCATATCAAAAATCTCTTTTGCATATCAAAATGTCCTTCTGTGTAGTAAGCAAACCTTAGATCTTACCTTAGTATGACCTTATAGGTCATACTTGAGAAACAGGTAGTATGTTTCTACTACTGCACTTAAGGTCAGTATCTCATGGAATCTAGGTGCACACGTATCAGTGCAGTGCAATGGGTGGAATGGGGCGAGAAGCATCTGCTTGCAGTGTGTTCAGCTGGGAGCCCTTTAGGAGGAGCCTGTAAACCCAGATGACATTTTTTTTCCTAGCACTGCTGTACAGAGAGTGTTTTGCCAGCAGGTTAAGTCATAACCTGTTCCTTGCTGCCTTGTGAAATTACTCTGGTTAATAAATTTCTGCTGGGAAAAAAGAAAAAAAAATAATCCACTCTTTTACCGATGGTGAAAACACAGAAGTGACTTAAAAAACATTTGGTCATCTGTTTGGGTGGTTGTTCTGCATTTTATGACATAATATATTCCACTACAGCGGTGTTTGTGTTGCAGCGGTGGTGCTGGCCTCTTCCTCCCCTCCTCTGCCAACCCTGTCTGCTGTGGTAAATGTGCTCCAGTCACATGGCAGATCGTGGCCGCACACTTGTGCATTCTCCTCATTGCAGTGTGGCTGCATTTGGCCCTGCCCCCTTTCCTATCCCTCTGTTTGCCTTGGAGCAATTCATTTTGCAGTTATTGAATTTCTTTGGAGAATTATTTTCATACAGCAAGCATCACAGCACCTCTGGATCTTGATAGCATTTCTACATAAGGAGAAAGAGGCTTTGTGTTAGTAATTACCTAACATTGTCAGGAGCTGACTGCAGGCCTCTTTCTAGTGATAACAGAATAACCACATAATGTAGCTTTATAGCACATGATTAATAGAAAATAATTACACATCCTACAAAGGGATGCAATATTTCTTATAAATTGACTACAATGGTTTCCTGTAGATTAAAGGACTCTTCATTATTTTATCAGTCCTTCTGAAGTACAGTCGCTTGCCTATGTTAGCAGTGATGTTAAGAGCCGAATGCAATGAGGGATACCAGATGGTAGGTCCAGTGGTACCTGAGATCATAAGCTGATGCTTGCAAAAGGACTGTGCTTCCCAACTCCTCAGAACTAATATAAAACTCGTGAGTGTCTTCAGATCTTTCTGCGTTTTGAGCCTATCGGGCTTCAGAATTATATTGTACACATCACCGGCAGCGGTAGTAGACATACAGGCTTCACAACAGCAGTGTATTGTCTAAATTACATCATCTTGAAGGAGTTTATCACTGATGCTATTAATAGAATCAATACAGCAGTTTGGATTTTATATGACACTTCAAGAAAGGAGTGGGGGACTGCCTTTGTATCTGACCAGTGAGCACTCCTTCATACTTCTGAAGACAGAGAGGAGTGGCTAGGAGTTCAGAGAAAAATGTCTGTACTTTAATCAGTTTAAAAGGGGACTACTGTACTATTGTTCTAAAACCTGAAATTAAAGTTTTATGTTCTTGGTAACCATGTATTTGTATTATCTTTTTGCTCAGACTTCCATGGTCTGCAGATGGTTTAATTGGGATTCATGTTGCTCTTGAGGCCCATGTGAAGAATAGTAATGATGGAGTAAAAGCTTCTGTGTTGGAATATTGTCTGTATAGTATAATGGTTGCAGTGAATCTTTAAATTAGTTTACTAGTCTGTTACATCAACATTCATTTCATCTTCTCACTTAGCTTCATGCCAGCGCAGTAAGTGGTGTATTAGTAAGTAACAAAACCCAGAAAGTTTTCAAAACAGCAACATGCTCTTAATTTTCATTTGAGGTGTCTGAATTGTTTTGTTTTAAAGCAATTATTTCTGAGTTCATGTAGTTGCTAAGTGGAACATTTTCAATGGATAATATAGTCCACAGGCTCTTTGTGTGCCATTTGTCATGCAATTTAATGACCACTTAACTAAGCCACTTCCCTCATTTCATGTATTGTTTGTTTTTTTGGCTGATGTCTAGCAAAACTTGCTTAATCTCTTTTGTCAGGCTCTTCATGACTTCCGTGTAACAGCTTAAAATCTTTTGTTGCTTTTTCTTGGAGAGATTTATTACTGAGATTCCAGCAGTATACGTGAGTACTGCTCCTTTCAGCAGTTTCCCACTGTAGTCTAGAAATACTGTTTGTATATTTAACCAGTGTACTGTAAGATAAAATACAAATTTTAAACAGGCTGATCTGGAACATTATAAACTTTGGTGTCAGGGTGCTACCCAGCCTTTTAAAGATTTGGAGTGCAACATGCACCCTATGGGAAAGGTTGTGAGCAGTTCTCAACTTCTGCTCAAAATAGTTTTCTCACTGCCCATCAGGTTCAGGTACCCCTTGACTTTCAGAGCATCCGTACAGGCCCATACTGCAGTGGGAGGTGGAGGTATTTTTGCAGCTAATTTGTGAGTTTACATCGTAAATGAAGGTTTTCCTGCTATTTTTTGCATGGATTTTCTTGAAGCCACACTTAGTGCTGTATTTTATGGGTGGCAGGATAGAACCCTTTAAATCACCAACTCCTGTTTGCACAGTGAAGAAAGAAAATGTTTAAGATTGGTGTTCAGCCTTCCACAGAAAGAAAATAAAGCGTGTGTGTGCCTGCCTGCCTGCCTGCCTGCGTGTTTTGGGAGAGTTAAAAAAAAGAGCTTGGGCCAACATGAAAGTGAGCCATCAACAGGGCTTCATCACAGTTACACACAGGGAGAGCTGAGTACATGAAGCACCTCATAGGACCCTAGAGAACACTCCACCAGGCCAGATATGCCAGCAGCAAATCATTATAGCTCAGGCTCTAATGAAACTCCATTAACCCTTAAGCTCCACTTGACTATTAATAACCAAAAAACTTATCTGCAGTCAAAATAATAGCTTATAGTGTCATCTCAGTAGGTCCATTAATTAAAAAATCCTACAGTCTTCAGCTTTTCTCATCAGAAGAGCAGTATAGCAGGGAGCAGATGTTGCTTATCAGGGATATCTGTGTCTTTCGTATTTTCCGTGTTTGTTCCAAAGTAATTTCTATCTAACTAATCATTCAATTTTTGAATGGGATCTCTGTTTTAATAATGCTTCATTTGTAACTCAATATACGAGAGTATGCAATTTCAGCTGTTACAATTTATTGAACTGCTGTTAGGATTGATCTTAAAATATTTACCTCATAGGAAAAAAATTAAATTTGGATCCCACAATACTCTTACTTGGTATTGCTTTTGGAAGATATTATTTCTTTAAACTATTATAATTCATTTTGTTTCATATTTATCTCACTAGGCCTAAACAAATTTCAAACTAAAGTACATTAGTCATCTGTCAGACATATGAGATCTTCTGTAGAATTTTCTACAAGCCTAAAGCAATAGTAGATGTTGTCCATTGAAAGAGATTATATCTTGGACTGATAGTATTCCCTTCACATTTGAACAAAGTGTTATTTAAAAGAAGTTGATTTTAAGTTTCTTAGACTTTAGCCTTGTGAAAGAATCCCAGCTGATCCTTTATGCCAATGTTGTGCTGTGAGTTATTGTTACAAAAACAAGGTTTTTATGTTTGTGGCGAATACGAGACGGAGAGAACAGCTGCTTTTGGTTGTAGGGAAGTGTGGCCATAATTAAGAAATTTTCCTGAGTATGTCTAACCTTTTTAAAATTTAGCTTCTCTCTTTGCCTAACTCTGTATATGAATGCCTCTAACCAAAAGATATAATGTTTTAATTTTCAGTTGAAATGGTAATAACTGTATGTAAGAGAAAGCAACCATAAGGAGTTGCATACAAAACTCTATTGCATTTATATCAGACTAAAGGTTAATATTGCATATTGTTTTCAATTAGGAGTACAATAGATTTGGCTGGTGGGTAGGAGAAATGAAGGGAACCATTGGCTTGGTGCCTAAAGCCTACATAATGGAGATGTATGATATTTGAGAGGCCTGGGTAAGTACATTTTAATCCAATCTTCTGTAATGGCTTGTGTGTTCCCTTGTTCTCTGTTTCTTAAGTATTTCTTTCCTGGAACCTTTGTAGGAGTCCTGTTAACATAAAGACTATGGCAAAGTATATTGAAGGTTCAATTTAAGCATTTCTCCTGGGATTCCATACGAATTATTAAACTACAGTATACGAAAGATGATGTATTTTATAACTGCATTTCTTTTCCAGATTTTGGGGGGTAAAACAATATTGGTAGTTAGTTCTGGTTAGTTTTGTTAATTTACTGATATGTACGTATTTGTGCAGAAATCTGTGGAAAATGGAAGGTGTTTGGACGGAATTTTATATGTATTTCTGAGGTTTTGGGGTCAATGATGAACTTCCAACTTCTCTGTCCCTTTTCAGGAGAAGTCTGCTTGAAATCAGGAGTGGTGTGCAGCTGCAGTTTACAGACCTGACCTCTGAAAGATGAAGATTCTGCCGTATACATTTTGTGGTTTCAGTGAATGTAGTCAGATTGTAGCCTTGTATATGTTAAACGTTCAAAACAGCAATTGATCACAATTCTGCGGAAATGTTCTTGGTCCCTTTTTATAGAATTGTACTGCTAGGAAATGAAATAGATGGTATTTAACATTTGGGGCACAAGCAGTCACATAGCGCCTGTTGCTCTTAAGTATATTAGCAGCACTCTATTGCTATAGGCTTGTGTTCTAACCCATGCAGTTTGGCTCTGTGTTTCCATTACTCAGATTGAGAAAAATGGAGCTGAACTTTGAAAGCAGAAAACTATTGCTCAGTTCACGCGTACGTTAATTGCTGGAGTAGTTCACATTTTTGCGGTTTCTATGAAAATCAAAGGAAATTTCTATGTAATATTGTAAGTCTTAAGGTTGTTCTGCTTCCAAATGTGTTTTTTTGTTGTTCATTTACATTCTTCAATTTTTTACATTTCGGCCGATGATTTATTTTTCTTCTGTATTTAGCATTGTTAATATGAACCAGTTAGGTTACAGCCAAATGAAGACTTTGTTCTTGTGCTGATGTACGTCAGTCTGTGTGGGGTAGCATTCTGACTTGCTGAATTACGAATTATTTTGGCAAAAATAACGCATTAGAACACTTTCTGGTAAGCCAACATGAGCTGAATTGCAGGTGGGAATGATTTTGTAGGTGGTGATGGTGTAATACTTTCAAAATCTGACCTTGTAAAGGGCTGCTTGCAGTCTTTAATGTCGCATCCAGAACTCTAGCTAGGAGCATCAGCTGAAGCAAACAGAAAGCCCCCTCTAAAATACTCTCACTTGTGGACAAGGAGTTGGCTACGTCAGAGTTAATGCTTGTTTGGGAGATTTGCATTGCTGTTAGCATGCAGGATCCTCTGTTCTGGATCCTCCCAACCAGTAATGTCTGAGGGCCAGGAGGGCGGCCTGAGTGCACTGAGCCTGGGCAGCCCCTGCACTTCTCACATGCATGCACTTTGGCAGCCCTGTGTGCGGGTGGTTTGGAGGTAATGCCGAGCTGAACTCAGGGCTAGTAACCAATTCATGGTACTTTCTGGTACACAGGATCCTAATAGGAGGCAAACAGGGTGTGGGATTTTTTAATTTTTTTTTTTTTTAAGCAATAGCCATTTGCAGTGGGCTCTGTACGTTATCAGTGAAATGTTAAAATGATAGATTATAGTCTTCAGCTCTTTTACTACTTTAATTTATCAAGCGGACTGTGCACTGAATGCAAAGCACTGCTCTCGTGGCTGCAAAAGCTCCCCTTTTCTGGCCGTCACGAAATCCGCGCCCCGAGTTGCCTTCCCCCCGCCACGCCGCCCCCTGCGTTGGGGTCAGTAGGGCAGGGCCGACCCGCGCCGCGCACCCTGGCCGGCAGGTGGCAGCAAAGGGTCGCGGCGCGGCCCGGCCCTCCTGCGGGCTGCCCGGGAGAGGGCGCCCTCCCCCCAGCGATGGGCCCGGCTCTGCGGCAGAGAGCCTTTGTCTGCGGGGGTAGCGCCCCCTCCTCGGGCGCAGGGGGGAGGCGAGCTGCCTGGCGGTCCAAGGAAGAAAGTCCCTCGGAGCGTCGCGGCTAAAGCAGCTGATGGACTGTTCGCTCTCAATCTATGCAAATACCATCGCCTTTTTTGGAGAAAAAACCCTCCACTCGTGCTACTTTGCGCAAAACTCAGGGTTAAAAACGCCGATTGCCTTATTGTCGTTGTTGGCTCAGGTCTGTCTCGCTGCCCGTTCTGTTAAATGTGGCGCTAAGACACGTTTTGTGCGGCATTTCTCGCTTATGTGCTCTGCTCTGCATTTGTGCTGCGCTGCCATTAGATCTTACAGTAATGTTCTACTCTGCAAATTTTTAAGGTTCAAATAAAGTTTAATTGTTTGCAAACTGTTATGATGCTAATAATTCAACAGCCTGCTGTGTTACTAATGAAATTACTTTGTTATGATTAATTTGGAAAATAGTGTGTTGATTGTAGTAATTAAGCACAACAAGGTGAAGTAAATGATTCTAATGCCATCTGGCCTCCAGACTGAATGAAGAAATGAAATGGGGCTGTCATCTGAATTTATTCACAGAAGTAAGGGCAATACGAGTGCTTCTTATGGCACAGGACCCAGATACAATCGTGCCACCCTGGTGGCTTTTCATGGACCTCTGTGCTAAGAATGACTGGCCCAAATATTTTGTAGACGCACAGAACCATAGCATGGTTTGGGTTGGAAAGGACCTTAAAGATCATCCAGTTTCAATCCCCTGCCATGGGTAGGGCTGTCACCCTCCAGCTCAGGTTGCCCAGCTCCCCTTCCAGCCTGGCCTTCCAACGTGTCCAGGGTTGGGATGCCCACAGCTTCTCTGAGCAGCCCATGCCAGGGCCTCGCCACCCTACTAGTAAAGAATTTCCTTCTAACATCTAACATTTGACCAGCACCTGGTTAAGGCATACCCCTTTGTACAGAGTGCCATTAACTACATGCACCAACTTTGCTGTCAGCTCTGCGGATGAGATCTGGAGAAGTATGTGCACCAGCTCACCTTTTGCTCCTCTCCTAATGGTAAGAACTTTCACTGACTGGAATTAAGCAGAACGTGAATGCTAATTAATATTGCACTCTATGTTTAAAGCCAAAAGCATAAACTTTGTTCTTTTTGGCTCTGCAGTCGCTGTGTGACGCAACTTCAGGAGCGTAGAGAATAACCCTTTAGAACCTGATCCAGAAGCTGCTGCAACTGAGAAGCTATTCAATCCAGTTGCCTCTGGATCAGGCTCCCAGAATAGTAACCCAAAACCACGCACTGCAGTTTCAAAATGCCTTCTGCTGAATGCTCGTTCTGAAAGAGGTGTGATCATTTCCATAACCTGAACTAAACAAAAGAGGTGCACTGAATTCTCTGTAGCCAGAAGGTGGAAATGTAGTTTTTCTATCTCAGGTAAAGAAAGATGAAGTTGCCGATGTCAGTGAGACTCGTGGTTTGTTGAAGCTCACTGGGGTCTGTAGAAAAGCTGTAAAATATTAAAGCCTGGGATGAAAATATCCAGGTAGATGACAAAGGCTCAGCTGAATGAGCCACTTGATGTTTCTCTCATCTCTTTCTCTCAAATTGATGAAAAATTTATTACTATGGAAACTGTGGGAATAAGTGTATGCATGGCAACCCTATAAACAACTTTTCCATTTTACACAGCACAACGTGCTCATAAACGGTGAGACCTTTGCTAACCACATTTTTATTTTTATTTTTAAGCTGACAGCTCTCAAACAAATGTCTGCTTAAGTCCATTTTTATTTGGAAAAACACCAATACTGAGCTACTGAGCATCCCTGTTATAGAGTGCGTTTCCCCTCTTGTGAGGGGCTAACACCAACCAACCTCATGGATTTGAAACTGGGGATTCAAGCTGAGCATAAGGACACCACTTCATGCTGCTGGAGTTAACATGTGACTTGGGCAGCCTGTCCTTGCTACAGGGAGAAGTAAAGGGAGGCCACGGTGGAGACAGGATGCACGGGTCAAAAGGATGATGCTGTTCTTAACCACTATGTGCCAGGGAACATCTATTTCTTTTTTTCTCCTTTTTTTTGTAGAGCAGAACAGGCAGCAACGAGCTGTAAAACACTGTATTATATCCTTTAATGGATTTGTTTGGGAAGCATTTTGTAATGGGATCCAGGCAATCCTGTTTGGAATTGTTAGTCCAAACCACCCCAATTTGAATTCACAGGGAGCGGGGTCCAAAGCAAAGCGGAGAAATAATCGCTGCACCTGAAAGGTATGCCAACATGTGTTAAATTTAAAACCAGAGGTATCAGCTTCTTTACACCCTTTTGGGAGGAGCAAGTATTAATAAACAGGAAAAAAACTGAAAATCCAGTGTTTCATTGTAGCAATGTGTATGGGAATAGAGCAGGATGGTGTGGGCAGTCTGAGAAGAACTCCTGGCAGGTGAAGACAGCTTGAAATGCTGCTAAAAACTCTCTCTGCTATTTATTTTTTTTGCTATAGCAAACTGATGTGTTGGAGCTTTTATCCTTAAGCAGTCTCAGTGTCTCATGAAGCATAGAAAGAACTTTCTTTCATCCGCCGTTGTAAAGCAAGTGCTGCTCCATAAAGGTTTTTGCTGGCTAATGAGCTTTTTACAGCAATCCTTTAAAGTTTATGCTGTGAGATGAAAAAACTCCACGTTCAGTTACTGGGGGAGGATTTATGTTGGCAAAAGAGAACGGCCAGTTTGGCCACTTTGTCCACTGTAATTGCTTGCGTGTTTGTAAATAGTGCCATGGGATTTTCAGTGGCCATCAGCAATTGGGATTTTATTTTTGTGCTACAAGACTGGCTATGTGGCACCACCCAGCTGACCGCGTGCTGAACTGCTTGTGTTAAAAGCGAAAGTATTACACGGTATCATTATCAATCTTTCAAACGCCAGCAAGCGTGGAAGTGTGTCATGGCAGTCTCCCACCCAAGGGCTGACATGGCCCAATGCTGCTTTTTAATAGTCAAATCTAACGGGGTCAGCATGCACAGAGCAGAGCACAGACAGTCTGACAGGCGTGGGCAACGCGGCTAGTTCAGTGTTAGTCTTCAGCCTCTGAGAGTTATTTCAGTTTGGAAAGGGAAAAGAAGAAATCTGTATACAGCTGTGTGTTGTCAGGGATGCAAGGTCCCTCCTTCCTCTGCTGCTCTGTTCCAAGAGAGCTGCCATACTTGTGCTTAAATTAAAAGCAGCCAGGCGTGAGTGCGTGTGTATGTGTGGGAAGCAATGGGCTTTATTGTATATTCACCTATAATCATGTTTTCAACTGGTTTCTCCATTCTGAAGAGTCCGTATGCCTGCTTGCTCTTAATAGTCACAGTTTCTACTGAAACGTGATATTTCTAGGTTTTTAAGTAGTTTTTCTAGTAGTTCAAAGTCTCTATTTTAGAAACTTCCCATTTCTCTTGTCCTGGATTCCCCGTTGTGATAGTGCTATTAGTGCAGTAATCAGGTTCCTGCTATCGAACACTTCTTGTCTTTTGAGACACTGTTTTTTTGTTCATCTCTACCAGTAAAATACTCCAGGCATATTTTTTGCAATGCATTTCTCCCTATTTTCAAGCTAATTTTAGGCTTGTTTTTAAGGCCTAAGACTAAAAAGAAAGGAGGAAGTAATCTATGCATCTAAATTTCTAACACATAACAATCCCCCCCCCCCAAAAAAAAACCCTCACAAAACATTAGGCAGTTCAAATTATTAAAGATTAAAGCTGCTTCTGACAAGCTATAAACTAACCAGATTCCTATCCACCTATTCTTTTGTGCTTCTGAGGCTGGCAAGTTATGGATGATGTGGGTACCTACCCGCTTCAATGGGCTCAGACTGCCCATTCAGCTTCTTAATGCCTTCTGATAGCCACCCAGGGTCACCTATAGTTCATTATCGACTCCTGGCTTGCGTATGATCGGAATTGCCTTTCCTCTAATGTGTCTGGCGCTGCTTCGAAGGCAGCATTCAGAGCATCTGCTCTGTGAGCTTTGTGCGTTTTTTATAAGGTGAGTGAAACTTCAAAGTGAAAAGGCACCATCCTCCGTATCCTCTCCCCCTGCACCATGTTCAAGACTTTTTTGCTGTTCTGTAAGTACTCTGTCTTCACTGCACTCCTGCACTCATTTGCTTATATAAAATTTGGAAGGGGTGAATGTGTGCTTTAAGGTGTCTTCTTGAAACACCCCATTTTTACAGAGTAGGATTAAATTGATGTTTCAGCAGCGTGGCAAGAAAATGCCTCCTTGAGAAAATGAGCTGGCATCTGCAGCAATAGTTGGCCTGCATGAGGCTTAGGCAAGCAGCAGAGAACGAAGATGTGGTTGGCCCTGTGCTGAAAATTGATCCTTACTGCCCTGTGTTCAATATCACCTTGGGCCCTTCAGCTGCAGCACTGCTACAAACGTCTCTAATGAGGTTGGTGAGCCAGCAATTTGTGCAGATGCTCGTCCATCAGGCGCGGATCGGGATTTTGAATGATAGCCTGGCAGCATATGACGTGGTGATGTGACACATTCTCATTTACATGCCCTGTCTGTTGGATAGGCTGGGGGCTCCGAGAAGCTCTTGGGGTGCATTTCATTCGGTGGTAATGAACGCATTTCAGCGGAATTCTATTTTGCACACTCTGGATGATGTTACGCACATTAAGGAGGTAGTTGTGAAAAATACCTTTCTTGGGTGCCGTGACATTTCAGACCTGGGGAGTCTGTGCTGTGATCGTTTGGTCTGAAACTGGCCAGGGTGGCTGATAGGGATCATTGAACAGAGTACTGACCAGCTTCTGTGAGCATATTTATTTCATTTAGTGGACAGTGTTTGGTTATTAATTATGTTTCAGACAATTATTTCAATAATTTTGTCTAAAAATAACAGTAGACATGCTGTTTGCTAAACGTATTAACTGAAATTACAATAGCTATTCAGACTGCATTCATCATAATACTTATTAGCGTCTGCCCTTCCTACGTCTGTTGGCTCTTGAATGTTCTTCTCATCCTGAGTGTTGTCATTTCTGCTGGTATTACAAAAAAAAAAAAAAAAAAGAGTAAAATGGGGGCAGTTGTCAATGCCACAAGCACCTTCTGTCTTTTACACGGTGTGCTTTTTGAAAACAGAGTCAGTTCTGCTTGTACAGTCTGAAACAAGGGAATTTAACCATGTGACTCCCCTTTAACCTCAATGAAGGCTGCGTAGGTAAATCTTAATTTGAGGGCACAGTATTAACTCCCTATTGACAATAGTAAGCATTCAGGCACATAATTCCCTTGACTTCATTGTGCTCCTAAAACTGCTTGCTAATGTGAAATGAAGGATTTAAAAGCAAGTTGTTAGTGCTGTAGGAAGTAGATTTTGTGATTTGAAGAA